TAGGGCTTTGAAAATCGTCAGCAGGGTGAATGGTGTGCCTTTGACTCAACTGATTAACACTCTGGTTGATAGACATTTAAATTTTATCAAGCAAATAGCTATAGAAATTTTAACTGACATTCAGCATCCACTCCATTCACAGCTCTTTCCTTCTATCTCCTCAGGGAGGACGAGAAGAAACTGCACAAGACTGTACGCTGGTACAGCTAAGTATAACAATTTGACTATGCCTTATCTAGCACGCATATTATGTGAGAAAAAACGTGTTAGAACACAACTCACATATCAACTTTGTAACAGTTAACAATCTCAGGATAATTGTTTCTATATGATACTGTTGTTGCTTGGACTGAACTGATCGGTCTCGTGGCTCAGTGGTGTAGTGGATAACACACTGGCGTTTGAAGCGATCGATCCCAAGTCTGAATCCCGGTGAGAACAACTTCACTCACTCGGAAGCAGGTACATCCAGCTGACGAGTCTTAAATTGGACGGAATGCGCATCCTGGATTCTACTGCTAGCCACAATCCATCAACAATATAATTACAACGCAGGCAATATCGAGGCATCTGCATACGAGCCCATATGCCGGTAGAGACCGATCAATTCAGTCCAGTCAACGACGGTATCATATAAAAACAATTATGCTAAAAACTATACCCGTCGCATAAGAAGTGGCTATCGTGGCTCAGTGGTGTAGTGGATAACACACTGGTGTTTAAAGCAATCTCTCCCGAGTCTGAATCTTAATGGGAACAACATCACTCACTGGGAGGCAGGTACATCCAGCTGACGAGTCTTAAATTTGACGGAATGCGCATCCTGGATTTCACTGCTAGCATCAATCCATCATTAATATAGTTAACGATCTCATTTCAATAATTTAAGTAATAATGAAGGAGTTTCCTCTTTATTAATATTCTTTACATTACTTAAATTCTAATCATAACACCATTCGAAGGGTTGTGTAGGAGTATATTCACACACATATCTGTTTCATGCTGAGAATTCCAAATTGTACAACAAATTTAGAGGTAGTATTCATCATGGACTGACATCAGTTGGGGAACCATTCAAAACTTGACGGCATTGGACAGCTATTTCTTCCTAGTATGGGACTTCTCAGCAGTACGCGCCCACGACCCGGCTAGGGATCGAACTTAGGACCTTCAAGTTTCACGACGAACGCGTTAACCACTCAGCTGTCCAGTGCTCCCAGATTTTCAATGGTTCCCAAACTGATATCAATTCATGATTAATACTACCTCTAAATTAAGATCCCCATTCATCTCAAAAATACATTAAGGTACAACAAATTGTTTAGAATAAAGTGAATTATTTAGAGTAATGAAAACAAATTGTTTTGTCGGAGGGGCGTCTACTATCATGTTTCACTAATTCCTATCTCTTGCCAATACTTACTTATCGTTCCCCTCATTCTCTCTTGGATTCCGAAAAGTAGACTACGTTGTATTGGATAGGATTTCGAAGGCCTTTTAATAGAGCAAGTAGCATACCCTTAATGATAAATGTAGTCATGTATAGGCATCTAAAATCTTGTAGACTACTGGCTAGAAATATTTTGTCTGATGATAAGCATCCTGTGCATCCGTACCTCTCTCTATATCTGTCGTCTAGGTCGATAAGAACTGAATAATTTAAAATGTATTCACTCACAAACGCATACGAAACTCAACTAATCGGCATCGCCGACTGAAATAGGACTGCAAAAGTCGATTGCTAGAAGTAGTGTGATTACCAATGATATGATTATGAGTAATGATAATTTATGCTTGAAACGTCATCCAGTGAATAATACTGTATCAAATGAATAAATCTAATATGGATTTCCTGATTCACTTAATTCTCCTGCTAGTTGACACTTGACTGCAAGACTCTTTGGTGAGTGTTCAAGTATCAAAGGGAAAAATCAGTTCCCTCGGGTTTGCAGATGTGTCTTTCTGACGAATTTTAACAACTACAGAAATGAGGTCAGATACAGCTTACCTCCGATAGTCTTCAACCGACTTACATTCATCAAGCTCAGTGATGCTGTTGAAGTGAAGATAGGAGTGAAACAAGGTTGCCTACTATCCCCCATGATATTCCTGATTGTGGTCGACTGGACTGTATCATGCAGCAAACATTGGGGAGCGAGAAGAGGGGGATACGCTAGACCACGAAACAGAGTCTAGAAGATTTAGACTTTGCCGATGACTTGTGTCTGATGTGGCACAAACTTGAAGATCTACAGGTGTAAACTAACAAGTTGACACAAGAGGCGAGGCAGCGAAGACGGGACTTCAGGTGAATATAAAGAAGACAGAAGTTATGAAGATACCGCACCAACAACAAACTCCAATCACCATCAACGGGAGAAACTTAAAGGAAGTAACCTCCTTCACCAATCTAGGAAGCACTGTTTCAACTACAGGCGGGACAGACGAGGATGTCAAAGTCAGCCAGGATCGGAAGAAAGACTGTATCATAAATGATGTCTATTGTCTGTTACTATAAGTTTCAACAAATGTCTCTTACTTAGAATATATAGGAGTGTTATTAGCTAATCTCCTTTGCAAGCTTTGATGAGTAGCGTAAATCAATGAAGAGACCGAAATTATTGATGTTTCAAGGTGTTTTAAATAAATCTTTGAAATGAATGAAGTATATTTTGTAACAAAATAGTCAATACACAAATGTAGATGAAGAAGTAAGCCCGGGGAAGATATTCTACTGAATTATTTATGTACAGTATGTTTTGCCGTATATATATAAGCGTTTTCCAGTGAAATATTTTGACGCATACTGTATTCTTTCACTTCAAATTATGGTTATGTTTAGTTGTGAGTTTCTAGTACAGCATACATCTGAATGTGTCACGTACTCTTGTACATTTTTAAAGTGTTATCAACCAGCCGTTTCTGTAGGTTGGTAAAAAAAATGAAAAAACCTCTGGAGTTAGATGGAAATGGACTTTCCAGTATACAAAAATACATTTTACTTCTATTTCTGGTTTATTTAGTTTGAGTTACAGTTTCTTAAATCGATTGAATGAATCGTCAGCACCAAGCTTACGCCTGTCTTTCTCTTCATTGTCCATCCTAAACTAAACATTAATCCAACACTAGCTAACTATTATAAGTTATTACCTTTAAGAGTGTTATTATTCAGTGATTATTACTGAAATATATGTAAAGAATACTTCATGACATTTTGCCTTTAAGCCGTTCTATGATCCTGTAAAGATTCCCCTTTTTTTACTAGGTACGTGAATAAAATCATATTGTAAAGCTTCATTTCCTGCAGAATATTAGGCGTTATTTTTTACCGTTGTTTATTGGTTTCAATTGAAATGATAGATACATGTGGACATATAAAGTCTTGTGTAGATGCCTTGAGATACCCAATGGCTTAAATTCAATATTGAGAGTGGATACAAGCAAGCAGTGGAATTCATGACTCGTACGAAGCAATGGATAATGGGTTGTAGTTTCAATGGCGTCGCCATCACTGACTACGTAGAAGGTATATCAAATTAAAAACGTGCGTCCTGGATTTCGATGCCAGCTACTAACCATCTATAAGAACAATCTAGGTTGGAGGATTGTAAAGAACACCCATATTAATTTGTCGATTGTATTCCGTTGGCTGTCTGCTTGAACCTTGAGCTACCAAATTTATCCATTGAACAGTTTTCATCAAATTATTTCCTTTCAATTTGTTTTAATCATTTCAATATGACGTTTGAATGTATCATGTACTCTGACACATTATTAAACTAATTTATTTTTGAGATGAATGGGGATTGTTAATTTACAAGTAGTATTCATCATGGACTGACTGACATCAGTTGGGGAACCACTGAAAATCTAGGAGCACTGGATAGTTGTTTCGTCCTAGTATGGGACTCCTCAGTAGTGTGCACCCACGACCCGACTAGGGGTCGAACCCAGGACCTTCAGGTTTCATGGCGAACACGTCAACCATTCAGTCGCTGGGTCGGTTAACCATTGGTTCACAATTTCCAACATCTGTCAATTCACGACATAGCACGACTGTCACCCAAGTCCTTCAGTTAGCATCCACTTCACTTCCGACTGATTGACCCCACAGGTCACGGCTTCTCATTAGAACTTACAAACATCCACCTAGAAGCAAGTCACTAATGAGCACTATAGAACTAACTGAAGACCTTGGGTGACAGTCGTGTTATGTCGTGAATTGACAGATGTTGGAAATTGTGAACCAATGGTTAACCGACCCAGCGACTGAATGGTTGACGTGTTCGCCATGAAACCTGAAGGTCCTGGGTTCGACCCCTAGTTGGGTCGTGGGTGCGTATTACTGAGGAGTCCTATACTAGGACGAGACAACTGTCCAGTGCTCCCAGGTTTTCAATGGTTCCCCAACTGACGCCAGTCAGTCCATGATGAATACTAATTCTATATTATTAAACTGTTTTTCAACTCTCCCCTTCTCGAGTTAATAACAAAGGCAGAGGTAAAAATGTTACGTTATATAAAAATCGACTTTTTGGTGCACAAAAGTACATCATATTTCTATCTGTCAAGTTCTTAGATTGAGTTGCAGATTTTTATTGATTCTTCAATATGGACCGGATGCCCATGCAGAACCAGTTGGCTATTTCATATTATTCCCTTGAATACTGTTATTATTAACATTATACCGATGCAATAACCATTTCGCCTGAAAGTCGTTCTGGGAGTGAATTTATTGCAAAATAACATTCCAAGAATTCCATATTGGCATACATATTGTTTGGAATAAATCGATTATTATTATTACATGCGTGAGTATATGTAACGTGTAAAATTAAATTGGAAAAAATAGTTATTCCAGAATTTGAGCAGATGAATTTCGCGTTTAGTTGTAGCGCAGTCGGTAAAATTTTATCATAACTCAAATTCCTCTTTAACCATCAAAATTATTTCTGATGACAATTTCGTTTTATTTATAAACAATAAAAATATGTTCTTACTTGAGCATTAATATTATTCGATACTAAACATTCTTTTATTAATGGCAAGATATACTGTTCAATCACATTATCTGGTACTTGTCTTAAAAATGATCTTGTATAGCGAACCAAACATATTTTTGTCTGAAATAAATAAACAAAAAAACAGGCAAATAAGTTAGTGTTTGATAAAACACTATTTTATACAAGTAGCACGCCTCCATTCCACTCACTTCAATGAAGCCTTTTCTACCTCGCTCTACAACTGCCAACAAGCCTTCATTGCTTCCTTACATGATCTTTTCGATATCACCCTCAGCTGGGATGCCAAACTCGTTGTTTCCCCTTTGCATTCCACTCAATGGCCTAACCTGACCTGGTGCATGATGTCCATAATCGGCACTCTCAGTGTATACACAATCGATCTACACTTTTTTACACTGCATATTTGTTAGGCTATAGGTTCTCGGTTGGTTGATTCGTTCCTAGAGTTCTTCCTTGCTCATTCTTATTATTCTTGCCATCTGACCTTCACTATCAAGTGTAGGTGATAGCTGTTGATGAATTTCTGTAGTTTTTTGAAGTGCCATGTTTCTGAACCATATAGCAGCGCTGACTTGACATTGGTGTTGAAAATCTGGTTGTTGTTCACACTTTGTGCTGAGTGCAGTAGATTTCCACACTGATTATTTCAGATAAATGAAAGCCTATCTTGCCTTTCTGATCCTGGTTTTGACATCCTCATCTGTGCCGCCACCTGTGGTTGGAACGATGCTGCCTTGCCTAGGTGGTAGGTGAAAGAGACTACTTCCTTTAGGTTTCTCCCTTTGTTGGTGATTGATGCTTGTTGTTGAAGCTGTTGTTCGTTGGGTATCTTTATCACCTCCATCTTATCTACATTCACTTGAAGTTCCATTTTCGCTGCTTCTTCTGTCAACTTGTTATTTCTCGCCTATAGGTTTTCGAGTTTGTGCCACAGGACATTAGACATAAATCATCGTCGGCGGTGAAATCCAAATCTTCCTCTGGGGTCATTTCATCTGTCCAATAAGCGTATGCCCATCTTCTCACTCCCCACAGTTTCTTGCATGATCTAGTCCAGTCAGCCACAATCAGTAAGATCATTGGTGGTAGTGTGCAGCAGCCTTGTCCCTCTCCTGTCTTCACTTCACTTCAAAAGCATCACTGAGCTTTCCATTGTGGATCACTTGGCATGTGACGTTTTCATATAGCTACTGAGTGAATTTGATAAAGATTTGTGGTACTCCATAGTGTTGATGCAACTGCCAAATTACTTCTTCATTTTAATGTAGGACCAACAAATAACAACAGTCTCATATGACTATGTGATGAGTTGTTTCATGTTACTTCTCATCAGTTGAAGAAAATAAGAACTCAAAACAGTTGTTAAGACGAAATAGTATGCTGTGAAGGTTATCTTACTGCGTAAAGACAAAGTCCATGCTTCAACATAAATATAAGCGAGTGCATCATGTCCTGCTGTGTCAATCAATTAACATGTATATGTGGAAACACATCCAGTTCAAGGTGGTTGAGTATAGTGTAAGCGGTTGATATGTAGACATCTCTTTGCTGCATTGTGTTGCTATGGTCAACGATGAAGACATAAAATTGTCGAGGTGTCTGCCAGAGTTATGGATTCAAAAACGGCTGATACCTACACTAAACCTAGCGTGATAGTACTGAGCTCAATGTTTTATACTATTGGCGGTGGTAATCTAACCTTTATTTTCTCTCTTGTTTTGGTTCTGCTCTTAGAGAAAGAGAGTGATATTGCTGCTATCAGAATTCGAACTCAAGACCGACTGCTTCAAACGCCACAGGATTGTCCGATAGACCACCGGGATACGATAACCACTTATTGTGTGACAGGTGTAGTTTTAGTATAATTGCTTGTATTATACTGTCGTTGTTTGGATCGTGACTCGGTGGTGTAGTGTATAACGTCCTGGCGTTTGAATTGATCGCCCCCGAGTCCAAATCCCGATGGGAACAACATTACTCATTGGGAGACAGGTACATCTAGCTGACGAGCTCCAAATAGGATGAAACGCGAGTCCAAAGAAGACAAATCGAATATCATTTACAAAATCAACTACAATAACTGTTGTCAACACCACATTGGTCGCCCTCTTCGCCTTCGTGTACATGAACATCAAGTGGCTATTAAACGTCACACACATTTCTTCACTCATTTCAATATACATGGATAACAACTATGGACATGAATTCAGTCTTGACTATATAGAAATCTTGAATGGAGAGAGGAAACATAAAGAATATGAGAGAATTCCTAGAAGCTTGATGGCATTCAGGTCAGTCAGTCATCAATCAACATATGTATGGACATAGACCCAATTTATCTATCTATCAACCAATGAGGAACATGATAAAGGCAAGAAGGTGAGAGGTGAAGCAGAGGAACAGTCAGCAGTAAAGTGTATGCAGTCAGTGAATGACACAATAATCAACGGGAACAACCAATCACAAACCAGAGAGATATTCACAGCTCACTTCATCCTGAAGTTAGTGTTGATGGTTATGTCGTCTAGAAAGACGCTGAAAGGTTCTCCATGACTAAACAACCCAGCTCAGAGAACACAATACAACCTAATGCATCCTAGATTCCACTGCTTGCCACTATATTTCATCATTATTAATAGCACATACTTGAGAATAATTATAGCCAATATTAGCTATCATATTTATATTAACTTACCTTCAAATTTGAACTTTTTTCAAGCATACTTATTAAATTCTTTTCTATGAAGTCTGTATAATCAGCTGAAGAGCATGTTTCAATTAGATGAGCCAATCCTTCAATTAAAAGTGAATCGAATGTAAAACATGCTTCTTCATTTGTAATTTGAAAAGATTTATGACCAATGTTATCATTGATTTGTCTAATAAATTGTCTTTTTTCTAATTTCCAGTGTAAATCTGTTAGTATCGGAATTATTCTACCATAAAGTATAGGCTGATGAAAAAAATGATGAAGAGATATCTTATTAGTTAGAAGATTTTTAAAAAACTTGGAAATGCTATTACATATGATAAAAACACCCGTCACAGAACAGGCCCATAATAATTTGTACACAAAAAAAACTTCAGTATAAGCCTATAGCGTAGGTATCTTTGAAGTGTTGATATTTACAGCAGTCAGGTTTTCATTATATTTGAATCCCATCAAAAAAAAATGAGCAGAAATGAAGCCACTTACTGTCTTCATCAGACAGTCTACCAGTTAAAAACTTGCATGTTAAGCCCCTCCTAATGTTTCGCTTCTGAAAAGAATATCATCTTACTAAATCGTATCCCTTAGGAAATGATATCTGTCTGTTTCAAATAAGTGATATCATTTTAAAGTGATCGAATTAAGACTTACTGAAGACTTTATCCATGTAAGAATGAATGCTTAAGTTACTCATTAGGAGAAGTTGAATGATTAGATTGCTAATTTGTTTTTAGATAGAATGATAAATTAAGGTTGATATTCATCAAGAACCAACATCAGCTGGAGGAACAATGGAAACCTGGAGGGGGGTGGTGGTGGTGGCTGCACAGCTGTTTCGTTTTAGTGTGGGACTCCTCAGCAGTGCTCACCCATGACCTTCCCCCCCCCCCCCCCCCAGTAACAGAAACCTGGAACTTGAGATTCCGTAAGGTAGGCATCCAAAAATTCACATTTCCTACTTCCATCACTTTGTAAAGTTCCTTTCATTTAATGTCAGTCCATGATGATTATCAATCTGGAAATCAATAAATAAATCTACACAAACTTCCTTACAACACAAAACTTGTGAATTTCGAATTTTTTTCAATTTGTAGTGGGAAAGAAATTAGCCAGGCAAACTGAAGAATATGAAGTAAAAACAATTGGAATGATGAAAACCAATGTGAAGATCTTCTACACTCAGAATGTGAAACAACATCCGGATTTTCAACACCAATAACAGTCAAGTCAGTGCTTCTATGGGTTGGTTGAGAGAGTTGGCGTGTCATGGAGAGCACTTCCAACAAACTACAAACATTCATCGACAGCTGCCCCATATGTTCACTCGATACGAAAGCTCAGATGGCCAGAATAATAAGAATAAGCAACAAGGAACTCAGGCTGGGCAAAGAACTAACCAAGAACCTATTGCTGAACAAATATGCAATGTAAGGAAGTGGAGATGGATTGGGCATGCAGTGACAAGACCATTTGGGGACATCACGCACCAGTCCATGCTAGGTTGTCCAGTGGAACCCAGATGTGAAACGACGAGTTGGGCATCTGAGGTGAGAGTGACATGGAGGAGATTGTGTGAGCAGGAAATGAGAGCTTGTTGGCAGTGGTGGAACCAGGTTGAAAAGATTGCAGAGAAGAGAGTGTACTGGAGACGTGTTACTGAATCCCTATATTCCACTAGGAATCCATATGATAAATAATGATACTAATAATAATTTAGGTGGACAATCACATTTGTAATCAGATTGATAATGCATGAAAACCAATGTGCTCGTCACCAATTAGTTGACTTCTAATGCTTTCGTCATAGCACAATGGACGAGTTAACTACGTACAGTATTATAAAGTTTATATTTTGTAGTAGGTGCATCAAGTCTTATGTACTTGCTCCTTGTCTTTCCAGATGACAGACACAGAGAGAGATTTGAGTGAAGAGTTTGCTGGTCATCTGATAAAATAACTCCTGCTAGATGTTTATATGAGTTAGGATGTTTGTCTACAAGTGTCTTAACAAGGGGGTTTATAGGTACACTACTAGTTCTGCTGACAATCTTCAAAGTTCTACGCAATATAGCATAGTGTTTTTTAAATGAACCGGGGAAAGCATAAAGGAGAACAATGAAGGAGAACAGGCATGATGCAGGAGTTTATAAAACACAAGTAGAGAGGCTGAGACATACCAGATTGTCTCAGATTCCCAATACAGTAAGTTAGGTGAAAGATTCTTGTGGAAATTAGTAAGATATTGGAGAACTAGGAGAGGTCCGAAGAGAAATACACTCCGAGATAAATCACACTCGTAACATTCTCTACAGTACAACTATCAATAGAACAGGAATGATGAGAGCTTAGCAGTCTACCTTGGTTATTTTCGCTTCTAAAACTGAAGTTTATAGTCTGACATTTTGAAGAACTAAGTACAAGACGATTCAGAGAGGACTATCCTGCAACAGTAAATAGGATGTCATACAGTTGGGAACAATCTTCTGAAGAGAAGTCTGGTATGGAAATAGTCAAGTCAGCAGCATATTTGATGAAATCGATACTAGTTGCAGAAAGAAGGAGAAAATATATAGAGGAAGAACAGCACATTGTGGACCCCGAGTCACAGTAATCAATGAGATGGAGTGCTTCCCTCTTTCACTAATATGTTGTTTTCTTTCGGAGAAATAGGCATAGAGCCAACTGATTATTCAGGACTCTGTATTATTCCTTTGTACCTTGTCCAGTAGAAGAGGTTTTGGGGCAGAATCAGTTGTCGAAGCATAGTCTAAAAAGATACAACCGATATACTTGACATTTCTACTAAGATTACAGGCAATATATAAGACAATGATGGCATCCAAAGTACTTATGATTTTAGAAAGTTCAGCGATAATAACCTCGTGTATTGAGTGTGCATCTGTGTGTGTGTGTGTGTGTGTGTGTGTGTGTGTATAAAATACAGAGGTGTACATTATGAATAGGGTACTCAAATAATTAGCTGAGTGTGTGAATTTGCAACACGGGTTATTTACGATAACAATATTTGATTGTTTTATCCATGGAGAGAAGGATGTTTGCAAATCATCAACGAATTACACGGTTCATGGTTACACTTCTCACATTTGAATAGTTTTTTTCAAATACCCAACTATGATGCTCAGTAATATATTTAGACATACATGCTGTTTTTACTATTTATTGAAATACTTGCTTATTTTACGTTGTTTCTTTGGATCGAATTGTTCCACCTCTATTGGCATATGGGCTCCCATGCCGGGTGCCTAGATATTACCTGAATGTTAATTATGGTAATTTGGTTGGTTGTAACTAATAGACGTCGAACAATTCGATCCAATAAAATAACGGAGAATTATAAGTATATAAATAAGTAGTAATAACTACTTCCCGTTGTACAAGAAGTAACTATCGTTCCTCCGTGGTATACTAAATAACTCCTTGGCGTTTGAGGAGATGGCAACAAGGTTCAAGTCTCGGTGGGGGTGCATGTACATCCAGCTGACAAGTCCTAAATAGGATGAAACGCGTATTCTGAATTCCTCTGCTAGCCACAAATTACCATACATGTTGTTTGTTTAAATGTACAAGGGAGAATTAAATTGGTCAATTTGACTTGAATACTTTCCCTTATTGTTACATACTTCAAAGTGTTTCATTTAGTGTTGAAGTCAGTAGTCCTGGAAGAGTTTAAACATGGTCTAAATAGCTCAATATTAATGTCTCTGTATGTAGCATTGGTTGACGTAGGTTTGAATCTCACAGAAGACACCATTTTCGTCAAGGTTGCGGGTGCGGTATGCTGAGGAGTGCTACTGAATATGTAAGCTAGGTGGAAAAAGCCAGTGGCGTCCAAACAAACGACATGTACAGATCTGAACTTTCACCAAGAGTTTTCAACCACTGATTCCTATCGTCCCGAAGACTCCAGTTAGACAGTTTACATCTCGCCAGACAGCCCAGGGTCAACGGTTAGGGACTTCATTGACTGATGCCACATCATCTGGGTACTCTGCATCCTTTCCCGACCAAATCCAACTTCCCCTAGCATATAACAACGAGTTAGGCGTTGAGTGGGCATGTGCAGTGGACGTTCAAGCCAACTCAATCGATGAAACTTCACAAAATCATCAAACAGTTCGCCTGTCTTGCCAAGTGCTCTTCGACTGACCTCAACATTGCTAACACGATGATTCTATCGAAAAGGAGCAATCCTATGAAGACACATGTGATCAAAACCCTGTAAACGCTTCATATCTTCTGCTCTCAAGGACCATGTTTCACAGCTGTATAACAGCACAGAACAAACTGCAGTTTCCGAGACTCGTCCTTTAGTAGATAATCCAATACCTCAACAGTCGATGCCATTTGTGATGCAAGTTGGCTAATGCCAAATGGTCTTTCTGTATTTTAGCTGAGATTTTGTCAGTAGCCAACTCTTCGAATAAGTAAAGCAGTAGACAAATTCCACCACTTCACTCCCTATGATAAAACTGGTAGTAGTTACAAATCAGTCGTGAAGTACCATCTTATATTTGACAAGTGTGAGCGAAACGTATGCCAAACATACTGGAATATTCGCTCAACACGTTCATAAGATGCTGCATTTTGTCAGCACTATACCTTAGCAGGACAATATTGTCTTCATACTCTGAATCAACCAGATAACCTCCAGAGAGTAGGTCAATCCATATAAAGTTAGACATAACTTAAGGTTATGTTCATTAGTACTTCTATAAAGAAGTCAGATTGCGATGGTGACACTGGGCATCTGTGACAAACTCCACTAGATATCGTCTTTACAGATGACAACACCTCACGTTCAACGAAGTCAATGCAGCGTTCAAGTGATGAAATATGCCAAGTGTTAACCGTCATCAGAAATGTCTGTTTTCCAGAATTTGTTGTAGAGCGAAAATCTGACCGATACAATCCTCATCCAGGTTTGATACCTGCCTGCTTCTATCCGATTTGCTGACATCAAGCTACAATTTGGCATCAGATAACTGTAAATGATAGAGTTGTGAATATATGTCTTAGAAGTTGATATCTGAAGACTTCACTAGAGTCTTGCACACAGCTAACTAGTATTCACTTTTCATTATATCTATAGAAAAAGGATGATATTCATCAATGTCATCGTACAGTATTTTGTACTCAAAGTCTATACAAATATTATATATATATATATAATGTAGTTAATGGTATATTTAATATAAAGCTCACTTTTGATAGGTTTTCTGTATTGTTTTGTAAAATTTGTAGGGCACGTGTTCTATCATCATCAGACTTGACATCAAAATTGATAATTCCATCTAATAGTAACATTGTTGGATCATTAAAAAATTTCAGCTAAATAAAATATAGACAATAAACAAGAGACGATTAGTTAACTTCATCAACAAGACAGGTGGAATGGTGGCTTACTTGAACTCTGGGCTACCGTTTTCTATAATCGAGTATATTGCATCAAATTTCTTATTTTTATATCGTTTTAATCGTTTAATTATGTCAACCAATTGTATTGTATATTCTCGCGCATTTTTAAAATCATTACAACCTATCGTTTCGCAAGTTGATAGGAAATTTAAGAAGAAGCACCACGGTGGATGGCAATGAGCTCTGAAGTGTATGACCATAGATCAAATGACTATTCCGAAAATACTTAGCACAAACTACAGGTCGTTGCCGAATAAAGTTGATTACCTTCAGTCACTCTTGTCCACAAATGTTTATCGAAACACGGGTGTAATAATGCTGCAGGAAACACGGCTTCATAATCTGTATGATGACTTAGTCTACTTAGATGGTTTCAAATCATTTCGACAAGATCGAAGCTTTTCGAAGAAGAAATGTGGTGATGGTGTAGCAACATTTATTAGTACTAACTGGTCGTCCTCCAACTATGTATGCTTCTGCTTCTCTAACGAAAAAATTGAGTGCATTACCATCAAATGTCGTCCCAAACATTTGAGCAAATACAAATACATATATATCACAAACATGTATGTCACACCTGACTGCAGTTTCTCAGATTTGTCAACTTTTGCTGATAAATTCACTGAATTTGCTGCTCCCGTTCTGGGAAACTCCTTGTCTATTGTCTGGGGAGATTTTAACTCATGTGACTACAGTTTTCTATTATCATTGGGTCATAAAAATATGGTTAACTTTTCCACTCGTCTTGACAACACCTTAGACTTTGCATTTACAAATGAACCTGGCATATATGAAGCCCGTAAACGGGCTCCACTGCTAAATTCCGACCACTGTATTGTTCGTGTTTTGCCTAAAGTGTACGGAAAATTATACAAGAAAGCTTTTGCATACCTTTCAAGGAAAGTTCAATACAGATGCTATTCACAAGAAAATATATTACTTTTGAGAAGCATGCTTATAGAAACGGACTGGGGTATATTTGCTGATGAAGTTTTAGACAACACTATTACCAATATCACAAGCTATCTCAGATTCTGTCTCGATATCTGCTGCCCTACTGAAACAATTTACATGAGATTTGACAGACTTTCCTCTCCTCATCTCAAGAGGCTTCGGAGAGAAAAGGAAAGGTTGTATAAGGCGAGAGATCACCCTGGCGTTAAAAGGCTTAACTGCCTAATTAAGTCTGAAATACAACGTCTGAATACTACATACAAACAAAAAGTTCTTATCGTGTAAGAACTCTTCCAATATATGGAAATTATTTAAAGAGCTTACTGGTAAAAAACAGATGACAACACAAACTCGTTCGGATGTCTGTGCGTTAAACAAGTCATTTATACGTCGGCAAGCTAATTTCACCCCTCCTAATGTGCAAAATCAAGTGGATAGCTGCTTTCCAGGTTTCAATACAAATGATGTATTTAAATGTCTAAAGTCTTTGAATCCCTCCCAAAGCTTAGGTCCTGATGGTGTTTCTAGTATCATATTTAGAAAATGTGCAGATATTTTGTGTCATCCACTTACAGATATCTTCAATGTATCGTTCTCTAAAAACATAATACCCACTGCTTGGAAGCAGATAAAAATTGTACCTGTGCCTAAGCCATCTTCTGGATCAGATGTTACTTTTCGACCCATCGCTATAACTTCCCCTTTTCTGAAGACAATGGAGAAATTACTTCTCCTTGTGATTGAGCCTTCATTGATGGCCTTCAGAGATCCAAAACAGTTTGCTTACAAACACCGGAGGAGTACTTTAGATGCAGCTACTGTCTTGCATCATAATATTGTTTCTAGTCTCGACAAAGGTGTTAAGTATGTCCGTTGTGCCTTTTTGGATTACTCATCAGCCTTTGACTCTGTTCCTAGACCACTTTTGTTAAATAAGCTTGCCATAGCTCACACTGATCCATGGGTTACAAAATGGCTGCATTCTTATTTTTCTGAAAGGAAACAGTACACTATTCATAAAGGGATGCGCTCGACTTCATTGCTTACTGAAGCTGGTGTGCCTCAAGGTGCTGTACTTTCTTCTTTTCTGTTTTCCTTTTTTTGCACGATTTGCCTTATTCTGTTGAAACTAATTTTATCAAGTATGCTGACGACCTGACGATTTCTATTCCAGTAAACTCTTCTTTGGATTGCTCGAAATTAAATGAATTCTTGTCTGAAGTTGGTAAATGGTCTCTGTCAAATGGTCTCAAACTAAACCTCTAAATGTCAGACCGTTAATTTTAGCCTCAGGCGTAAACAAGACTTATGTGAGCTGCTTAAATCTCATGACGCCTGCTGCATCAATGGTATTTCTGCAGAAAGTAAATCGAGTGTGAACTATCTTGGGTTGGGTTTTACTTCTGACCTTTGTTGGTCGTCCCATATTTTATTGACTTGTGAAAAAATCTTTCGTTTAACTTATTACGTAAAGAAATTGAGGCTTTCTGGTATAACTCAACTGCTTCTTTTACAATTTATTAATTCCTGCATTTTACCTATTCTCCTCTCTATTGTTCCCCATTAATCTTTCCTGTTCTTCTTAAAAAGGACTATGTTATGTTGCGTAGGGCTTTGAAGGCCATCAGCAAGGTGAGTGGTGTATCTCTGGCTCAAATGATTAACACTGTAGTTGATCGACATAAATTCCTGTAAGCTACTAGCTACATAAATTTTAATTGACAGTGAGCATCCACTTCATTTACAGCTCTCTCCATGTATCTCCTCAAGGAGGACAAGGAGAAACTACATAAGACTGTATGCTCGTACAGCTAAGTATAAGAATTCGACTGTACCTTACCTTGCACGTATATTTTGTGAGGAGAAAAGTGTTAGAACAGAAATCACACATAAACTTTGTAACAGTTAAAAATCTCATTTTGATAATTTAACTTACAATGCAAAATGTTCTCGTTTTTAATATTCTTCATACTACTTAAATTTTTATAATAAAACCATTCGAAAGGCTGCAAAGTAGTATGTATAATCAGATATATTTTGTTGTTATTGCAATATATATTACGCTGAGAATTCGAAATTGTACCATAAATTGTTTAGAATAAAGTGAATTATATATATATATATATGTACAAGGTAGTTGTGATGACCGAAGTAAGATAGAATTACCTAAAAATGGATGAATTGCTATAATTGAGCCTGTCTCTCAATTTCCAGCCTTACTAATGTCTAACATACCAGATTTATACACGTTTTTATATCTTGGCTTACAGGAAAAGTGCTTGACTAGCTGATCCACATGACTTAGCTGCCGGCGATTTCTTCTGATGAGAAAACTAATGAAAGAGTTAGTGTTATTGGTTGTATGACACCGTCGTTAATTGGACCGAAGTGATCAGTCTCTGTTGGCTTATGGGCTCCTGTGCAGATGCCTCGATATTGCCAGCTGACGAGTTCCAAATAGGATGAAATGCACGTTCTGAATTCCACTGCTAGCCACTGTCCATCATTACTATACATAATTAAAACACAGGCAATGTCGAGGCATCCACACATGAGTCCATATTCCAAAAGAGACCGATCGATTCGGTCCAATCAACGACGGTGTCATACAAGCAATAACACTAAACCTACACTCGTCGCACAAGAAATGACCATAGTGGCTTGGTGGTGTAGTTGATAACGATTGGCATTTGGAGCGATCGCTCCCGAGTCCCGGTGGGAAGAACATCACTCACTAGGAGGCAGGTAGTCCAGCTGACGAGTCCCAAATAGGACGAAATGCGCATCCTGGATTCCAGTGCTAGCCACTGCCCATCATTACTAAGGAAAGAGTTGTTCAGTAAAATAGTTAATGATACATTCTGATGAAATGGCACTTTATTACAACTTTAAATAGCTTTTTACATCGTCTCTATTCATCACCTAACATCAGTTAAACCAGTTTTCCGAAGCATGGCCATCTAAGACAGTCATACTGATAGTCAATATAATGTTATATGGATCTAAATCATCTTGAAGATCAACTGGGACAGTGTGAATGATTACGATGAATGGAGAGTGACATTTAATCGATTATTATTACTTATTCGCTGAACATTAGCATAAGATTGAGGATTTGATAACTGGGTAGGTAACTTGGAGACCTTGGGTTCAAATCCTACTGTGACAAAGGTTTTCATATTTCACTTCCAACCATCACTTAGTAATATGAAGCATTCATGACCTAACCAAGTAAACGTAGATGAAGGTATTCTGGTTTCAGTTTCACGCACCCATTTCGTTTCATTCGGTAGCCGTCATAGAAGCAGTCACTTCTATGAATTTAGTTAAAATTCCAGTAATTAGTTACATTATCATTAATCTCGTTATTAGTTTTTATAGAAGATATAATTCAGCACTAACCAAATAGATATTAAACGCTCTGAAGCTCAGCATAACGTGAGCTATAAAAAATTCAATGTCTTGCTAGATTTCTTATTTACTCCTCCTAATTAGATGGTCATTATTTCTCTTTTGGGTTCGTAGTGCAATACAGGAATTCAGTAGCACGCCTCCACTGTACTCTCTTGTCTGCAGTCTTTTGAACCTGGCTCGACCACTACCCACAAGCTTTTATTTCTTCCTCACATATGATCTCCTCTATCTCAACCTCGCCTCAAACGCCCAGCTCGTCCTTTATCATTTAGCTTCCACTCGACACCCTGACCTGATACGTGATGTCCCCGAACCGTCTTCTCTGTGTATGCTCACTCCAAGCCATGTCCACTTTCTTTCACTGCATATTTGTTAAGTGATAGGTTCTCCGTTGGTTGCTTCGTTGCCAGCCAGCCAGCCAGCCAGCCAGCCAGCCAGCCAGCCAGCCAGCCAGCCAGCCAGCCAGCCAGCCAGCCAGCCAGCCAGCCAGCCAGCCAGCCAGCCAGCCAGCCAGCCAGCCAGCCAGCCAGCCAGCCAGCCAGCCA